ACGAAGGGGCGGAACAAATCACCAATTATCCAGTCATAAACCCATATATTATATTCGAAGAATAAATCCTTAAATTTGTTTGGTTCTATTCTCATCTACCCTGGGGAACATTAACACATTTCCCCAGGAAAATAATCTACACATGGTGGGTTTTGCACATCTACGTTCGTTTACCCTCCGTCTGAATTAGTTGATGTTTATCCCCATCGCAAAATCCCCATCGTTCATCTTATATATCCCATTATTCTCCCATTAGTTCATTCAATGTGGTGCCCCCCCGATTAAGTTTGTTGGTTTAGAAACCCCATGAATACTAGTTCGTTATATCTATACCATAAACCATAGTGAAATTGGAGTTATGTTCATCAACTTAGCTATCGTTTGGGGGGCCCACTTATTGTATATATATATATTATCCTCCTATTATTATACTATTATCATCCCATTGTTATCCCATTATTATCTGGGTTTGTCTAAAAAATAGGGCGACCTCAAAATCCAGATTGTTTCTCATTTTCCCTCTTAGAATGACTATTTTGGCGCATCCCCATTTTCAGACACACCTATATATTATCCCATTATCATCCCATAGTCCCATCCAATTGCAACTGGTTCCTGACCAAAACCCAACTGATTCCTTGAAGGCCTTGTGTTTGCGCTGCATTGCGCTGCCATTTCTCTCTCAGATTTGCTTCGTGCCGCTTCCCACCAAGCACTGTGGCTTGGACGCAACTGGAACCCCAAACTCTTGCGAGGCATCAAATGGCTGATCCAACCAATGGTCCAATGATTTTCAAAGAGATAACATTTCAAACCGGAAGCCATAAAGCCAAGCATGAGCCAACAGATCAATATAGAGTTGAACATACATCAGCACTCACTGGTCTTCTCGCAACAGCTTGATAACAGCAGGGTGGCCGCTGTGCTCCGAGTTCTTCTTTGCCCACCTGAAACTTTTTGGGGACAACACTCTGACTAAATTTTGGGAAATCCTAGCCAAAAACAAACCGGCTTGATGTTGTCTCCTTGATTCTTTTTGCAGTTGGGTGACTCAACACGTGCATCCAATGCTTTCTGCTTGGACGCTTCCGCGGACAGCTTCAACACCTTTTTCGCATGATGATGTACATTTGAATATACCTGAGACGCTGTCTTTAGCACAAAATGGTTTGAAGGCAGCATGAATAACTTTTCTCCAGGAACAAGGGTTCAGCTTAGTTACTGAATGCAGTTTGCGCTCGACCTCATCCTTCTCACGTCTCTGCTTCTTCGACTGGGACTTGGCTGGTTTCTTTAAACTCTTCTGCTTGGGTAATGGGTGTGTCTTCTTTGAACCCCTTGCTTTGCTCTTGGGTGTCTTCTTGCTCTTATCTTTCTTGCTTTCTGCCTTGGGAGCGGGTTTCTTCTTACTCATAGCCGCTTTCGCAGTAGGTTCACAAGCACGCGCAGGGGTTGCAATGGGCACAACTGCATTTGCAGTTGGAACCTGGCATCAACAGAAATAACACAATAAATGAAAAGTAAGCCTGATATCTTTGAGTCTGGTATCCACATGATTCAAGCCCAGGTTGGGGCAACTACTATGGCCTCTTTGCGAAGCTCCGCATCGGAATCAACAGCAAGGACTGTGCCAAGATCCTCATGGGCCGACAGCCGACGGAGGTCCTTGGACAGGTGGTTTCATAGTAAATCATATAACTTAAAACCGAGTTTGACATAAATAACTTATAACCGAGTTTCTGGTTTGGCACCATCCCCAGGAGAGTCAGACATAGGCATCGGCGAATGCATCACAGAAACCTCCTTGGCTAAAATTCACAGGGTGGGATCAAATAGAGGGAACCTCCACTTACTCAGTTCTCAAATCCATAAATGGTCAATTCAAGGATCTGGTGTGTCCTCAAGCCCCAGCTGGTTGTCAGGGTGATAGCTGGGAACAAGTGACGGTGAGTAGGCATCTTTCTGCGTCGCGGCATAACAAGATTCACTATAGGCATCAGCGTGATCAGTTCCATGATCACCCGGGCTAGGAGGAGCATCCATGGTAACCTCCACATCACCTGGATTAGGACAAAACATGGGGCTAGGCATGCCCAGGATCCTTAGTCGATGCAAGGTCATGTGGGAGAAGATTCAGCTTGGGACCAACAAAATTGAATTGACAATTTGGGCAGGTTTCATGGTTCAACAGTTCTATGAAAGTTCAACCCAGTTTCTCATCAAGCTCCAGTTTCTCACAAAGCTCCTGCAGCTCCTTGTCATGATCAACCAAGGGAAATTCCTGAGTCGGATATGCGCAGGCCCCATTATCGTCCAGACTCGTCCTGCAACAATGAGGGAAGCAAAGTTTTAGGAGATAAGTAAAATGGACATCGACATGATTGTGAACATGTTTCTCTAGATTTCCATGGGGATAGGCCTGAAATCAGGTAACAGATCATCTGGCAAACCTTCAATCATGTGCTGGAAAGGCAAGGCCTCACAGGGAAAGTGGTGAACTTTGAGACTCAAGCTGCTTAACATATACCTAGATCCTGAACACTGCAAATAAGACAACCCGGCCTTTTGGCAAAGATTGTCCACATCCGGCTCATCACACTTCTTGGCGGGTCGTTTTTTGGATGCGTTCTTGTCACTGGCTGGACGTTTTTTTGGCTGACGTTTTCTCGGCTTTTCATCATCATCACCCTGAAGGTTCAAAAGCTCTTCCATGCCATCAAGATCATCCATGTCATCGTCATCATCCTGCCCTCCGGGCAATGGCTGATGTTCATCGCTGGCATCTGCCTCATCATCTTTCTTGGATTTCTTTGCATGTTTCTTTGTTTTCTTACTTGTTTTTTTGCTTCCCCCTGGAGCTGATGTATTTTTGGACCCCTCCTGTCCCGGCGAGGATTCATCAGATGATTGGAAGCGGCTAGGCACAATCAGGCGTGCTGGGTCAGGAATGGGAGCAGGCTCAACTCGACCAGGGCCTGAAAATTTGCCCCAGGTCCCAGTAACCCTATAGGGGCTCACAACATGCATGCAACAATCAGATTAATTGCAGTTGGGGCACGGCTAGTGCTAGAAGCAGCGCCCGAGATGGTAGCCACAGAAGCAGGCCTTGTAGTCCCAGTATCTGATTGCATCATCGAGGTAAGGTCAAAGCCCTTAGTCCATAAAATGTTCGCCGGTGTCAAAAAAACTCATTCAAATCAGAGAAAATGATTTCATCTTGGAGATTGATAACTGTTGTTATAATTGTCATCAAGAAACGGGTCTAGCCACATTTCTGGTGATTGGCCCTGGAACGAACTCCACTTCGGAATCATCATCGGTCACCGTTGACACCTTCTTTTTTGGCGCCATGGCCAAACAAACTCAGAACCTAGACTGCTGATGTTTTGTGCCTTGATGGTTGCAGCAAAATTTGCATGCCAAACATATCAGTGACATTACTGTGATGGAATTAGAGTGAAACTCAGAAGAGCCAATGTAGCCTGTGGCACTGCCAGGAGGCTAGCATCTTTCACCAGGAGTGCCTACGGTGATTGGGACTGGGTTTCAATCCCCCATCAAATTGGGCCTAAGCCCCCAATGAATTTGGGCCTAAGCCCGCAATCAACTTGGGCTGTTTCAAGCCCACATCCAAACGGGCCGGGTTTCAAGCTATCATCAAAATAGGCTGTTTCAAGCCCCACACAAAATCGGCCAGGACTCAATCTCCACCAAAGTAAGTTCACCACCCTACTTGACCTATACATATGTGTATATATATAATTATATATATATATATATTTAATATAGTATATATTATATTAAGTATATATATACATATGTGCACAATATTATACATATATTATATTTTTATACAAATATTTATTTACTTATATATTTCATATTAACAAACTTATATTGTATATTACATATATATCTATATATCATAAATATATATTATAATCTATATATATATGTACTAGATATTATATATATAATATGTATAATATATAACTTATCCCGCAACCCCCAAAAGAAATGGAACACTTAGTCACTTTGTGGTAAATATATAAGCGCCAATATCAGTTTTAAGATATACAATATTTTTCCCTGAACATGTAGTGAAGCACTGGCTGAACAGGCATTGCCTGCAAGTGAAAATCTCCAACCCATAGCTTTCTGTGATTGGCAGGCCAGCCGACAGCAAAGACAATGCAAAATTACTGAACTATCTGCTGCTCAGACCTTAACAATAAGATTTGTTTGACCTGCCAAAGCCCGGCATTGCTCTAACCGAAAATACGGACAACGGCTTCGCCAAGGTCCAAAACTCCATTGACACATGCTACCGGCCTGATAGGCACAATCGTCTTGACTCCATTCTGGCCACTCACATCTAGCCTCAGGAATGCGGCTAGGAATGCCATCGGATGTTTTGGTTGCAAGTGTGGAATCCTGTCCAGTTATGAGAAAGACCCTGGCAAGATGAATTCTAAGGCTATATATAATCAAATTAATTTAGCTGGAGAGCCGTGCTCGCCATGCTATGATGAATCGTGCTGCACCCTTCATCTTGCTGATGTCAACCGTTGCACCAAAACTTTTTGCGTTCATGACTGCCGATCTCTTGCGCTTCTTCCCACCCTTTTTCTCCTTCTGCTCCTTGGGCTCCTTCGGCTCGTCAAGCACAAAGGCCAAAGGCTTGTCAGTTGAGATCACCAAAGAGCCATCAGTGGAGTCACAGACCGAATGATGAGTGATGGCAAGTTTCACCTGTGAGGGGCAACCAGCATACAAAAGTTAAATGCAATTTGCACCAGCATGTAATCAATACCAATTTGGACAATGTGGTCCAATTGCCTCTCCGGCATCCTGCAACTCCCGCCACAAGGTTTTCAACACAGTAGGGCTGTCGATGCAAGGAAGGCTGGAAAGGTGTTCGGGAACATGTTTTTTCTCCAGCAAGATGCAACTGTCGGGCTGGATGGCGAAGCTGAACCAACGCCCAGAGCCATCTGCCATCACTTCAGCGGCATCCTTAACTTAGTGTGTCCCCATGTTTTTAGTATATGTGAAAATGATTAGATGGAATAGTTGGTTGATTCTAGACGGCTAATCTAAGGCAGCTAAGCATCCTGGGCACTCCTCCACTCTCCGCTTCCAAATGAAAACCTGAGCTGGCAGGATATTGGGTGCTGAAGGAAATGTACCAGCAGGACAACCCGGGCTGGGGAAAAATTAGACCTGATGGAATCTGAGAAACAACTCTCGGTATTGGAGAAACTGATTCTTGTCCTTCGTGACAAGGTAAAGCGGGGAGCCCTCTTGGCCGACAACCAGCTCCGCTGTGTTGTTGATTTCCATGCGCTGCCTCAATTCTTGAACGACCAAGAGCATACCAGCTATATGCATACAGATATGCATGTATATAGTTTTGTGCATCTTATGTGCAGGATTTGTAACCAATAAACACAAGATATCCATTAGAAACCAAATGTACATCGATATGCAAATATACACTTGTACAGTCAGAAACCTTCACTTGCTACATTCAAGCAAATAACATATATATATATGTGTTAAATATATCAGGTTCCAGCATTCAACGTGATTCTATTTAATTTACATGTATGTATGTAAAAAATAATTCAAACATCAACTGTGTATATGTTTTGTTTGGCTAATCTTTCTCAATTTGATGCTTCCTTATTTCAACCCCAACTGAATATTTGTGTCAAGGTGCCTAATCAGAATCTTGAATTATGTCAAGATGCGGTTTGCTCAAGTTGACCACATCATCTGGAGTGGCCAGCTCTGATTGCTCCAGCTTGATCCGCTTGTGAGGACGCCCGGTTTCATCATCCATCGGAGTCCTTGAGAGAGGCAGGGCAGCAGGGTGACATTGGGCTGGTGTGGCTGGCCCAAGAAAATACATGTCTTTTTCAAATGGGGTAGGAGCAAGCAGAACACAATCGGTCTAATGGTCCTGGTTGGCTCAGGTTCTGCCAACCAATCACCATCGGGGTTGTAGTTCGCATTGTGCTGTTCAATCAAAGACTTGGCATCATCTTTCAGATCTTCACACTCCAAAAATTTGGAAGCAAGTGCTGACAAAACCAAGAGCCTGTCATGACGCTTCACACACACTTGGTAAGACACTTGGCTCTCTTCTGTTTGAATGTTTTGAAGGGCTGACACCAAGTGTGAGTACTGCGGGAACCCACAAACTTCCACATGCCCCGCCCGGCATGATTCATACAACTTGTTGGCCACCCGTGATTGCAGGCTTTGGGATGACCGGTCAAGTACCACTGTGGCGCAGATCGTTCGGTGTCCCTCAGAGCGCTCCTGGCGGGGCACAGATGGGGGGCAGGTCTATAAGATTTTCAAGATCCTCCTTAAAGTTTAAGTGTACTTTTCTATAGGATAGTATTTATTTTTACTACTAGTGTGGGATAAACTAATATGAAAAGAAAGGTGTAAATAGTCTGACCCCACTCACGCACACGCTGTGTGCATGCTTTTGTCTATATATAAAAAAACTATAATATAATAATATAGCTGTACATGCGCGCAGTGCATGGTCTTAAGCAAAGCAAAGAAGAACAATGAAAAGTGAATACCATGAGGTTCATGCGAAGCCAGTAGCCAATGCATCCGGTTTACGCCACTGCAATGGTCAGCGGCAGCAAAAGCAGCAATAACATCAACCACAACAACGCAACCACCAACACACCCATACACACCACTGATGCCACTATCCACTGCTATTGCATTTGAAGAAGCAAGCACCACCACCACCACAACCAGCGCCCCGCCCACAGCAAGCACAAGGACCCACAGAAACGATACCAGTCACTAACACTCAACCATACAACAAGTCAATAGCAAGAGCAGCAACAAGAAGAAGAAGAAGAAGAAGAAGCAGACAAATAACAAACATAAAAGCAGCCCGCATCAACCTCACAATCATCACTATCATTGTCATGAGTCATGAGTCATGAGTAATGAGTCATGATGATGATCATCATCATTACCATCACTAGTGTCATCACCAGCTCCATCATCAACATCATCACCGAAACCATCTACATCACCACCACCCCATCATCATCATCATCATCATCATCATCATCGTCATCGTCATCGTCATCATCATCATCACCACCATCATCATCATCATCACCATCATCATCATCATCATCATCATCATGACCATCATCATTATTATCATAATCGTCATCACAAAATGGTACCAACATCATCCCAGCTGGAACACCGCAGTCCTCTAAAGCTGCAAGGGCCGGCCAACAGTCGTAGCCATGAAGGTCAACGATGAGACAGGTGCTTGCTGTTGCTGGCTTGAAGCTGTCCATGGTTTTGCGAACAAAATCACAGCCACCAGAAACCTTGAACGACCCAACTGAAGAGAAAGGGAAAGGAACAGGAACCAGGTTTACAATCATTTGTGGGGAAAAAACAAAACACAAAACAGCTCCCTCATAAGCAAGAATGAGTTTCCTGTCGAAGCTCCTGAGCATCGGTGAAAGCCCTGCCCATGTGCGGCAATGCAGATTGAGCCTCAAAAGTTGTTCTGTCTGCAAACATTCTTTTGGGTAGCACAACTTGGGTAAGAAATATCTTGGGTGACAAAATTTCTTGCGAAACAAAATTTCTTGGGTAACAAACAATAATTCGATGTTGCCTAGCAGCATCAGGTTTGTACATACCATTGCGTGGCAGCATTTGCACCTGGTGAATAACTGCATGCTTCCATCCCTGGCTCGACCTGAAAACGTTCGCCTTGTCCCTGTGCAGCACAGCCAATCCCCGCAGACATCCAGATCTTTTCCCGTATATGCTGGCCTGGCAGCTGGAAAAGCTTAGGTTTAGACATGTGTTGAAGCTGACCCCACTAACCCTTCCTAGATTAAAAAACTTTGCACTTGAAAGTTGGCAATTTGACTCCGTAAAACTACAAAGCACCTGGGGAGACTGAAAACAAACATCTGATTTTGACACTGAGCTGCTGGGTCAAATACCCATGTCAAGTCTTTGATCACAAGCCCACGGTCTTTCAAAGACAGCGCTTTCCTGGAAACATTTTTGCTAGCAGCACAACAAAGCATGGACCTGCAGAAAATTTCAGAAATACATCTTTCTTGGAAAGTAACGAAGAAAAGTTCAAAATGAGAAATAGCCAAATATCTCCAGTCGATGCTTCATCTCACGGATTTCCACTTCCTCTGGGGATTCCATGTTTTCTTCACCTTCGCCGTCCTCATCCTCTTCCCCTTCGTCCTCCTCCTTCACGTCCTCGTCCATCTCGTCCTTCTCAACTTTCTCGGATTTGACACCTCTCCTGGAGTCAAGGAACGATGGGAAACATTCAAACTTAGAGACAAAAAACAAAACATTGAAACAAAAAAGAAAAACCCCGATGGAAAAATGTCACAGTCCTGCCAGAAGCATCGCCAGCTCTGTTGCCATGCACAAAAATGGCAATGGAATTCTTGCTGTAACTTGCAAGAATATTCGTCACTGCCGTGAGAAAAAAATCACTCTTCGCGGCTGGAACCACACCTGCCGTGGGCAAATTGATCAGGAGGAAGATGCAGTGGTCATCCGGGCTGCGGACTTCCTTAGCGAAAGGAAACACAGTGGTAAGAACATTCCATTTATTGTTGTCTGCGCACCCATGCCACAACAAGCTTGTTTTGGGCTACTGAGTCCAAGGGAAAAGTTTGAAGTTAAGGTATTCGCTGAGTAAGTCACCGTCGTAGATGGAACTCAGGGCAAAATTGAGCCAGAGACAATTTTTCCTATGCGGTTTCTTTGCACAACGCGCGGCTGCTACGGATGTAGCTGCACAACGTGTGTGTGTATGTGCGTGCATGCATGCATGTGTGGTTGTGTGCGTGTGAGATGTATTATATTATGTAATGTTTTTACAGGTCGATATGTTGTGTGTGTGTGTGAGTGGGGGGTATGTATATCACTCATTTCGTCTATAACGGGACACTATATATTAATAATGTAGGGAACCTTCCTTAAGCAGAGTTTCCGCTAGCACCATTGAGAAACACATTTTAAACCTTTTAGAGAAACAATGGAAATCAACTGGTTGTGGGAAAGAGTCCGCAATCTCTCCCAGTGTTTCCGTCATCCATGTTGACAGTGCTGGCAACACCGTACTCTCGGCTTCAATGGCTCTCCCTTCAAAGAACTGGAGGTTGCTACTCATGTAGGAACCAACTGCATCCCAAGCTTTTTTGTGAGCGTCCTGTCATTGTTGGACCCTAAACATAAACAAAGACATGGGTTTCCAGGGAAAATCAGATTTTGAAAGTATTACTGTATTATGGATAAACCGTCAAATTGAATGGTCATTTGTTTGAACCAATGGTTTGATCTCAAACATATCAACTTATAATCAAACATTGCTAGTACAAGGGGCCCAAGACCGAAAAAAATGTTTCCATAATTCTTTTATCATATGTTCCTGAAAAATCCGGCCTCCAGCTTTGAAACAAGCTGCGCCCGCTTCTTGGCACTCTCCTTCTCGCTCCTTGGCTGGGGACGCAAAAACTTATCTTCATGTTGCCTAGAAGGACCCCAAAACATCGTTTTAAAAAACTGTTGTGAGGGTTAACTATTTAAAATACATAAAATAGTTCCGGTTCAATCTAAGCTTCATGATCTTGCTAGCTTCAAACTGCACTTGGTCACTTTGCAGCTGTTCTTTCCACATGTTAAAACCAGCAAGTTCAGAGCGAGCCTTTGCATTGCGAGTTCGATCCTGTGCCTGTGAGATAAAGTCGTCAACGCTTTGCCCTTTGATCTGCAGGGCAAAAGGCATTAGGCAAAAGGTTGGGGCGATCCCCAAAAGGTTGGGGGCGATTTCAGGATAAAAATAGTATTTGGTGATTTGGCATGGATGCCACGGTCTGAAGGCAAAATTCCCAAGTATCCTTCAAAATGATTGTCACAGTGTCCCACCCCCTAACAAAAATCATATTCGGGATAGAAATCATTACCATTAAAATTTGGACGTAGGTCTAGACATTGGTGACCCTATTTTATCTGGGGAGTCATTTAAATTCCATCCACAGCAAGCCCACCCTGTTTGTGTTGATTGGTTTGGGAAAACTCATGGTGAGCACATCTTATCCACTTGTTGTTGATGTCCAACTTTTTTGGCAATTATGCACGTAGTGCCCTGGTAATGGTTTCAAAACCTAAATTTACAAATAAGATATCAGAGTCAGAGCAAATAGATATATAATCCCATAACCCATGCCTCAAGGACAAAGGGAATGCGCTCCCACTCAAAGGGCTGGGCTGCCCGCATCACAGCCCCAAGATCTGAATCCAAAGTCCTGGTGCAGCCATATTTTGTCTTGAAATAATACGGTCCAAAATCAATCACCTTTTGGGGGAGGAAATCGAAGAGTAAAATGCGACGGGTTTCTGCAGAAAGGCATCACAAAATCCAGTAAATTGAATGAGTCAATCACACCCCAAACCCAAATCCAATTGGCCTGTATCTGATTCACCCCTGCGATACACAAGATTTTGCGACGCCTTTCTGTGAGAACCAGTCACGATCTGGGAACCAAATTCAGATTCTAAGTTTGACGGGTTTCTGGGGGATTGGATTTGGCCATAGCCAAGTCCATTTCAGAAATTGTGACGGGTTTCTACGAAAACCCTTGAAACTTACAGGCTAACATTTGGCCGTGGCCAAGTCCAGAAACCAAAACATGACGGGTTGTTCACTTTTTTGTTATGTTTTGAAGTGGATCACACCCCGCCCGAATTTGAGGCTGAGCATCCCCTCGGAGAACATCTTGCAATGTTTGTCGCAGATGCTGCCAGAAAATGAGGAGCGCAGCTTGGGTTCCAACCAGGTCCACAAGCAACATATGTCGTGCAGGAGAACATGCTGCTCTTCCGAGAGCTGTTGCAGTTTCTGAGTCAGGGATTACAATTCTCAAATGTGTTTAATCTTGGGTTGGAAAATTTATCCCATCGTTCCCAATTAGATCTTTTCAGGGACCAGCAACATCCAGCAACCAATGTTCAATTAGTGTCACAACAACAGGGTTTTGCCCAGAATCCTTGCTCTTGCTGGTATCTGCTGGAGTGACCCGTTTGGCAAAGTCCTGTGCAGGATTGTTTCAACAAGCTAAGTAAGAGATTTCCCAAGGTGATTTGGATCAATTTTGGGGTTACAGTCCTTCGTGGCCCGCAAGACCCATAGTCTGCATGTTTCCTGGGTAGTAGAGAGGATATCTTTGAAGAAGGGCTTTCCACTGAACTTGGCGGAGTCCAAACGATTGGTAGACCCTGGCACCCACCAATCGGCTTGCAGGATGTCCAACGGCAATCCTGAGGCAGGTCGGGCGGAGCGCTGAAACTAATACGATGACTTGAATAGACGATGAGAACGGCTGTTCATTTTGGCTTTCTCTTTTTATTACATTTTGTGGAGGTAAAGTAGATTCAATCCCAAGGAATGAGAAAACATGATGTACAAGCTCCTGAGACAGCATGTGGGAAGAAATCGTAGTGGTTGTGGATCTCTCTCTGCACATCATCTTCGATGCGGAGCCTCGCAAAAATGGTGCCATAAGAATGAGAAGGACCAGGAAAATTGGTTTTTAACACTCCTCACCCTTCAAAATTCCTAAGCCTAGGCAAGCAACAAATTTGAGATCAACTTGCGCTTGTCGGAGTCGATGCGGTGCTTTTTGTTGGTTGTCATCTTGTTGTATTCAGCTATGCATCTACTCAACACATCCTTTAAGGCTTTGGACACTCCGGGTTTGGCAGCCCTTCTTTCCAGTTCCACCGCATGTTTCATGGTGCCCAAGTAGTCTAGACATGAAGGCGCTTGCTTCTCGGAGGTGATGTGTCCAATCCCTTGACTGAAAAACACTTAGTATAGGGACCCAGGTTGGACAATCACCCGAATTTTAAAAGATCATATGGTGTGTTGGTGTGTGGGAAAATGAACAACTTAACACATAAGAAAAGAATCGCAGGGCATGCAGGAAGTGGTGCGCTGGGTTGGTGTAGTGGGTGTAGCTGCACCTAACCCACCGGAACGACTCAAAGACCCGTGCCACACCAGGAAGTTGAATCTCTTCAGCGGAAACATCCTTAGTGAGAGGCTGGGCAAATCTGTCAATTTGGAGTTTTGGTCAAAGTTGAACATTTAGGGAATGTTACTGGAGGGGGTGCTACTGGAAATAGAAGTGAGCCCTCAATCCCCCCAAAAACACAATTGTTGTTCATTGATGGTTATGCGAAGCATCTAAGCTGATGGCCAATGCGCAAATTCCAGCCATGAGCATGATCTTCCCATATCCATCACTTATTCCCACACTTCCGGGGTGAATTGTCCGGGTGCCATCGACATGAGGGAATTTGACTTCCACTGCTTCAGCTCCCACTCGGTATCCATCTCGTAGGAACTCACCAATGTGCTGGGCAATCTGTGAATTTTGCGGATAGACTGCAGGGGAGCAAACATCATGACATTGATTGAGCAACTTGGTTTATTTTAATATTATTGAATGGCATTAAACCATTGGGATCCCCATGTGTATTGTTCAAGACCCTTCAAATTTTCCCTTGGAACATGTGGTTGTTTGCCCAAACCCGGCATCCATTCTTTGTGTCAGCCCCCAGATTGAAGGCTTCCAGTGGCAAAAAGAATTCTTGCATCGTCGACTGCGGAACCATACCCAACTTCGACTTTCCCTTCGAATCATCAGGCCCAAGATGGTCATAGAGCACTTTGTGGAGCATCTGAAGGCAGGGCACGGGCTGCAAAACCAAATGGCTTGATGGAGGAAAAGGATGGTAAAGGGCACAGAACAACCCAAAAACAGAGGAGCCTTGTCAGCAGCTGTTCCAAGGGTAAAGTTGACAAACTCCCCGAAGTTCTCTTTCTGGATCACCTTGAACCCAGGGTCCAAACACTAACATAATATTGATCAATTCGATTCAATACTATTCAGCAATGTCCAAAAGTTGTGAGATTGCCATTGGCATTAAGGGGCCCACAGATTCAAAGCATGCAAAGATCTTGTTCAACACTTCATTGCTGCGCGGGTCGTCATGGTAGTGAGTCATCGGACCCACCGTTAGGTCAAACAGTGATCGGAGAAATCCCTGCGGAAACAACCTATCAAAACCGTCGGTCTAAGTGCTCAATTTGATGAACAGCACAACGATCATCACACACCATAATAACATAGTAACATGTTTTTCACCTGACCCCAAATCTAGGCAAGAATCCATCAAACCTGTCTCGCCATCATGCTCGATGATGGAAAACGACCCTGAGCTTGTGGGGTTTGGGCGCAGGCGCAGGACGCCCTAACTGTACATTTCCAACCCCAGCATTTGCTTGAGGCCCCGCGGAAATAAATCCCAACTGCTTGTAAGGTGCACGCGGCCGATCACCGTTGGTGATTTGCCTTAAGTACCTCACGGAACGCCCCATGTGAGGGTAGTCCACCTCGATCACTGAAGCAAGCTCATTGAGATCAGCAGCTCTTGTTTCATCCAAGGATTGGGTCAGTATGGAGGTTGTGCTATTCAAGCAGTTGAAAAAAGATTCGGTTGACTGTAAGAGACTTTGTGGGTACACACACAACGGAGGCTGTGATAGGATCCCATCCGACATCGAAAGCTTCACCATCGCAAAGATGTCCCTTCCATTTCCATCAGATCTCAAACGCCTTGGAATAGTCTCCTCCAACTGAAGCCCATTGCCCTGGCCCGGTAGTCCTGCCCAAAGCAGGCACATACACACAACCAATTAGATGTAGAAATTAAGCAACCGCAGCACATACACACCATAAATGACAGGTGCCCCAACCTTCTCTTGCCATGAAAGTGAAGCTTTGTGGAACCTTGAAACCCTCATCATGATCTTTGTCACCCTTTCGTGCTCGATAAGCATCTCGCAAAGTAGCGGATGAAGGCATGATCCGACACCAATCTCGGATCTTAGTTTGTTTCAGAACGCATGGTTCATTAATCAAACTGACCAGCATGCATAGCACACCCCCCACAGGACATCCAGACCAGTCAATCCCATTTCTGGCTGCTGGCAAGGTACGGTGTCGACCAGCTCCACCTCAAAGCGGAGGCCCTTCTTCTGGAACAGGGGCCGCATGCGTTGAATCAGGGTCCTGGAAAGCGCGTAGTCTTAACAAAAGAACATCGGTTGTCTTCTCAGCATGGAAAACTAAACAAGTTGTCTTATACTCAGCATGGGTCCTTTCAACATCCCGGGGAGTCTCCAAACTGTGCTCTTGGTTGAGGCTTGCAGTGACGATCGAAAATACACCATCTTTCAGGGGCACAAGCACAAATGCCAAACAGATCCGTGTTTCACATGTTACCCTGAATCATATTTGAACAAGTACTTGAACACAAAGTAGAAAGGAGAGAAAATTTGTCATATGGCCAACCTATGTCTTCATGCGTGTGACCAACTTCAAGATGGTGATGACTTACTGAAGTGAAGAAACGAGCTTGGGTCAGCATTGTGGCCCAGCGGCCGGTGTAACTGTTTCTAACTTCTTTACAAGCGTTGTCGCCTTGAAGCCACAACCTGGGGTGAAGGTTTCAACTCAATTTACTCTGGCAGATGGCTTACAGATTTCGGTTTACATTTTGATTACTTGTAAAATACCCTTCCAACATGTATTACTTGTATAATACCTTCCCAAAATTTCCCAAAGAGACTTTCCCAAGAAACTCTCGCGGCAGCTGTTGGTTGAGAGAACGGCAAATCTCCCAGGCTTTGTCAATGGAGCGCATCGCCTAAAGTCAGGCTTCTGAAGGCCGGAGTGGTGGGAAGCAGATTGAGATAACATGATTGGAGGGGGAAATGAACCAAATCAGTTGGGAACAAAAAAGCAATCAAAACCAGGGGGCGATTTCAATGGACCAGTTTGCTCCGCCTGCCATCCCTTCATCAGCGATATAGAGATAGATTCCAAACCCGTGGACAATCACACCAGTGAGGGTCAAGGAAGTACCTTGCCCATGCAAAGGGGAGAAATTCTAGTTGATCTATATGAATGGGAAAAACATTGGTTCATAATAATGCCCACCAAAAACATTGATTGGCTGCAGCCTATGCACGTTTGATGCGTTCATAGATTCCCTTCTTTGGAATTCGTCCAAAAGGATATCTCGGCAGGGTGACTTTCGCTTTATCATAACCATCCTGGATCAGGACAAGTATGTCTCGTTGAATTTTGGCACGTTCTCTTGCTTCCCAGTACACCAAGCGATCTTGATAGGTGCGTGTGTAGTGACTTAACAAAGCATCACACCAATAGACATGGCTCTGCACATCCTCAGATTTTTTTCAACCCTGAAACCCATGGAACAAACATGCTGGAAAAATAGATCTAAAACAGGCGCAAGCTTGAAGTGGTAAAGAAACCAAAATTTAAATATCAAGTCCACGATATGGTTCCACTGCATGTCGTATCTGCATTTTCAGGCGGGAACATGTATCGCACACAGCGTGTTGTGTCCGCTTGTGAAATCGCAGACACTTTCTCCACCTTTGACATACCTGGAAAAAGGTTGAACGAGAGGCTGGCTCTTCTGCATTACCATGAGTCTTGGTGTAAGATAAATAAAGCAGATAAACATTGGCCCATGAACCGTGAGGTAGCTCGCGGAGTGGCAAACGTTCTGGCTCTCGGTTGAAATTGAGTTGAGATGTGGCTCCAACCAATCGACAATCGATAAGCCGCTCTAAAAGCTCTTGTCGCAACTCTTCACCCCCCTTCTCCATGTTTGACTTCGATGCAATCCTTCAATGCAAAAAAACGGAAATAGGTGGAAATAGAATATAATACTTCCACACCCGAATCTTGTTTTTGTAACATGTAACCATAAGTCTAAAGACATATATATTTTAGCCACATATGAAATTACATATATGAATAATTATATAATTATATATATATAATATAATATATTATACATTTGTTTTTATACATCTTTACAGTCTATACATCCATATGTGTATATATTATATATATACACATGCATATATGTACACATGCGTACATATACAAGACATACATATATACATTTGTACACTGCATATACACAACCAACCCTATGCCGCATATGGCCCGCCAAGTTTCCCAGTAGGCATGGCCTCGCCAGTAGACCAGTACAGGTGAACCATAAAGCTCTCCACACTCGCTCGCTTCACGGCAGGCGGAGCACAAGGTCCTGAGAGGCAGAGCTGCGCAGGTTCATTTTGGGTTTGGGCAAGAATCAAAAGCATCTCCCAGTAGTCACATGTAGTCACACTATGAGACAAGTGTCGACCTTGACCAGACACTGATCTCAAATCTTTTCCCTGGAACACATGTCTACACCGTGCCAAGCGATTCTTGCCGATGCCCAGAAGGTATGCCCAAGATTCCCGGCAAACTTTGTGTCCTGCCAAAGTTGCAGGGGCCAAAGCGGAACAAGCACATTTCTGTCATAGGATCTCTTATATTATTATTAATAACATCAACTTATTTTAAATTCAAATAGGTATTTTTTTCAAGGTAGCCAGTCCTTGCAGGAACCACTGTCTCTTTCCACGCATACCAGACTCATGTTGTAATGACCACAACAAACTGTCTTGTGCCGATTTTGCTAGGCACCAGAAAGCAGTGCAAAGGCGAACCAGTAGCTTCAGGGGCATTTGGCACCTACATGCACAAATAGGCTTCTCTAGCGCAGCCCTCATTCGTTTCACAGAAGCCCCACCCTTAGCATAGGCTGTTTGCATCTTTTTGGGAGTTCGCTGTAGTGAAACCACCCTCTCATATGTCAAGTCCACATTGGAAAGACCTTCGGCAGTGTCATCTTCCGAGGAACTAAAGCTCAGAGAAGATTCGGAATCAGATTCAGCAGGCTCCTCCGAAGATGAGCACCTCAGTTGATCAAAACCCACACCATGTGAAGCATTGTTTCCGATCCCTTGCAACTAGATACATAAGAGTAATATATTCCAGGCATTGTTTCCGACTTGTTGCAACTAGATAACTCCATATCATCATCTCCAGAGCTAGATGATGATGTCGCACAGTAACGACCAAGCCCATCATCAGCGTTGTGATCCGCATCCCATCGCCCAAGGATAGGCATAGCCAACTAAGATTTCCAAGTTAGTTATTTTAAGAAGTAGTACTGCCCCATAAGCCTGCCCCATAAGAATGGTTGTATATAAGGAACATTCTGGTTAATTCAGAAATTAATGTTCCCCAAGCATATGGTTGTGTTGCATTACTGAAAACCTGTGAACCAGTGCAACTTCAGAGACTGCATCTACAGCACGTCCAGTGACTACAGAAGCATGGTCACACTGCGTTGCAGCCACAAGGTCTGCTCATTTTTTCAAGCTAGCACCAGTTCGATCTTTGAATTGTTTGAATTGTCTCCGCATGTAAATTTGTAAAATACACGCTATTGCATCTCAAGCCGCTTTGGCACTGTTGCAGCCAGGGCAGCACATATAAGTGGGAGCACACTTCTCATTGCCATTGCATTTCCACCAAGGCTATGCAATACCTCAGTAAAACTGACCAATAAGTGGTGGCACAGGATTAATTACATTTCTTGGTCATTCTGTTTTTTGAAAAAATGAAACCAAGAAACTGATTCGCTGCATGACTTCAGATTCAGCCTATGAATTGGGATTCCCATCAACGCCATCACTTCACGCCCCACCAAGAACCGACCAGCTGTTGTAGATACAAATCTTCCTCCCGGCCTTAGCGACAGAATATCACAGAAGTACATTACACAACAGGGTCATGCATGAACACATCACATTCCTGTTAGTTATGTTTACCATCTAAGAAGGAGACGTTAGGCAGGGCAGAGGCTGCGAATCATCCGTCAGCATCGGCATTTGGGTCAAAGATTGACTGGTGTTGGCAGCACTGATGCTTCCATGCGCTGCAAGCAGCAGATCCAGCGCCTCACAGTGGTGTACAGGGTGGTGTTTGAAGACGTTTTTGGAGCACAAGCATGCAGCATACCCCCTGCCTGCATTTCTCGGATCGATGTCACTTGTTTTGCAGCTCTGGGGTATCGTCGGGAAAACCCATTCGCTGAGTTCTTAAGGCCCACCTGCACCAGAAATATAATAATTGGTGACTGAACCAAAATTACATGCAATCTTGAAAGCAAAGTTCAAATGTCAACTGAGTCAACCAAATTTTGAAGGCCTTGTGTTCTTTTGCCCATTGTTTGTGCTTTTGGATCCACTTGGCATTTTTGTCAAGCTGCCTTAGCCCCAACCCATCCGACCCTACATGTTTAAAATTCTAAAGCTCAGAAAGACAGTGTGTGGAAGCAGGCTGTGATCAATTTTTGCTAAGAAGCCGCTTAAAGTTGCGGCATCGGCGCTTGCGCCGCTTCTTCATGTCCTTCTGGACCGCAGGGTGATCTTCCGGAAGAAGCAAATCTTTCCTTGTGCGGCAAGCCAGAGCAGCTGCAGGAGAAAGAAAGAAAATAAATCTCCGAATGCAATCTCATGGAAATCAATTTCTAGCCCCAACTAGCTACAGGGAAGTGAGTGAGGAACCCCCAGCTACTTTACAGGGAAGTGAGTCAAGGAACCATTTGGTTGTGGTAGGGTGGAGGTGCATAGCTTTCAATTTCTTGTGGATGAACTCCATGAAATCCATCTGTGATGCCTCATCAGTTAGAGCAGACTCCTGGATTAACAGGAGGTACAGCCTCCTTCTCGACAGTGGAGCTCCGTAGCCAGTCCTTGATTTTCGGTAAGCCAAGACAAATTTGAGTAACTATAGGGAGCTCTCATGGCAAACAACATCTTTGCAGATAAGTGGCGGGTTCATTGTCACATACAACATTTTGTACCTAGGTGGAACTTAAGTAAACAAGTGCCAATTTTGGGATCATGTCATTCACTTACCGATTTCATTTGGCAACAATTACATTGAAATGACAAAGCACCATGGCAGGTTCTTCGCGATAAAAGCGGCCACCTCCTCTGCCACACTCTTGAACCCCATCACATTCTCCAGGATAGCTATCTTAGCAGATTGAAAATTTGACATACGCTTAGTAGGACAACAACAGGCTGATCATTGGAATGTTGTTGACCTGAATGGTGTCCAAGGGTCTTTTGGTCTGGTGACCTTCATTCGCTTTACGCAAGCGAAAAGTGGCTTCGCATTGACATCTCTGAGGCAGGCCCTCTCCCCCAGGCTACTATAAGGAGTACAGGGGAATCCAGCTGCGTAGAGTGAAACCTGGTGTGGCCGATGGTGGAACAAAGAAAATGTGCAATAGTAGGTTCAAAGGATTTGCTTCTTCCTGCTGTGCATGTACAGTGTTACAAGCCCAGAAACTTGATTTTCGAGCTTGCTGTTGTCTTGCTTCAGCACAGAGCTCGTGAGCCTGATGTCGCCGGCCATGGTGAAAGTAAGCAGCTAAAATTATTATTGTTTCTGAATGCTTCTTGCCAAGATATTCAGAATTTTGACCAGGCACTGTTGACAACCCAAATTTTTCTCCAAGAATTTTCGCTTGCGATCATTGATCTCTGACGCTGCCCTTAGTTGTGCTAGTTTGACATTAAAACAACTTAAATACCCGACGGCTGCAGCACTGGTTTGCAAATTTGTTGGGCACATGCAAACCTATTATATTTCAGATTAGCATCAAGTGTTTCAAGAGATGTTGCTTGCCAGCTGCTTCAAAAAGCATCTGAAGGCCCTGGAAGGGGACATCAGCACCAGAGCCTTGCCAGCGAACCAACCAAGCTGCCCCAAGCAAAAAAACCGAAGAGCGGGAGTCCGTCACAGGTTTTATTGTATGTGCATCCAAGGCGCAATCCGATGCATAATGGAAATTTCCATGAAAGGAACCAAACCACAATGCGAGACCTGAGACAGCACATAGCGGGTTGATTTACATCCGATATTCTTGAACAAGTCTTTGGGACATACCCATGCATACACCATATTTAAGATACACCCACATTTGTTTTCTTTCTAGAATGGCATTTAGTGGGCATCAGGCACTACAGGAACCTTGGTTGAAAAAACGCATGAGTGCCAAGTAGCCTGACAACTGGAGGAACAACTTTCCAACTTCGAGATATTCCTTCATTTTTCTCGGAATATCGACTTCCTCCTGTGATCAGGTAAGGCTGGTGATAAATCCCCAAAAATGTATGGTTTGAACAATTGGTGACTCACCCAAAATCTATTGCCCCCGCTCCTCTTCAGATGAATCTGATGTTGAGGAAGATGAATCCGAGGTGTTGCTCATGGCTGCACCCCGCGAGATTGACAAGTAAATCTTGTACAGTTATTCGTTTAGTACAGTAAAATACAATAAATCTTTCATTTCCACATTGGACATTCGGTCAACATAGGCATAACTGACACAACTGGGTGGTTGAGCTAAACTTTTGGGCAACATGGCTGCCGCTGGAATGAGCGAAACTCAAAGATCCACTTCCAACCTGGAAAAGACCCACTTCCAACTAGACAAGACTCCATGATTACCTCACTAATCCCATGTAACTTGACCGTTGCTGTTCCACCACCGGCCGGGTGCCAATTTCAAAACATCCGCCGAGCTCACCGAGGACACATCCAGACCCAGCCTGGGGTTCCTTTGTGAAGGTGAGGATGGCCCTTTTTTTTGGCTGCTGAAGTCAGAGTTATGGCCCGAAATCGCCAGTATAAATGGTGTTTTATAACTGGTTATTTATGGTTCATTCTTGTTATAAATGGTGCAATAACTGGTTATTTCTATGACTATGAGATTATACATTCCATAGAGGTTTTGTTCGTACTTATGAGGATGGCCATTTTGGCGAAGTCCCTGGGCCCCATGGATCTCCAAGGAAGTTTCGGATCTGATTTTCCATGGCAAACTGTTAGTTTACAGAAGGGTAGAATGGCCAATGATGGGATGATATGGGATATGTGGGTAAAACAATGCCATGCTTACCATCCCCCAAAATGACCATTTGGGTGCTCTAAAACCATTCCCAGTCATGGGCATGGGTGGTAAACATGGCATTGTTTTTCCCACGTTGTTCAACATTCACCGTTAAATGTCACCCAGTCATGTAGGTAAATATACCAGCACCATGGTTCGCATATGGGTTACCCTCTGGTAATTTAACATATATTGAAAATGCTGATTTATAGTGGATTTATCGTGGAAATTGGAATGTCTGATTCCTGAAAATTCAAATGACACCATTTTTTGTAGTAAGACATCAGTAATCAGACAGTTTTGTTGCTGGCCAAACATTGAGTGGCATCCGCTCATCCAGACATTAGACGAAAAATCTTCGTTTTTTTCAACATATTGGGTGAAACCCATGGGTTTTCCACAGGTGAAGACGGACCCCGTCCACGACGTCCACGCGCTTCTGGCCGCCACGGCGGACCCAACAGCGGAGGAGATGAAGCAACCAAACAGTACCATGGTAATTACTACTGATGAACCAACAATATATCATGATGTATTAGTATATTAGAATTATTGTATTATTACTACATTACCATAGCAATTTCAGTGTTATACCATAGTAATATATTACTAGATTACCACTAAGAATTACCATTACTGTGGTGTTATACCACTGACCATAGTGTTATAGCGTTATACCGTAGTAATGGTAAGTCACCATATGGTAATCTGTTGATGGTCAATTACACAGTACTATGGTAATTATTACCATTATTAATGGCTGAAGTATGGTATTCTTACTATTATCATCATTATGGTATTATTCCTATTGTTGTAGTAAAAATCCAGGCAACCAAACTTTGATCATTGTGTGATTCGTTGTTTAATCCCCATGTGTTTTTGGTTAGATCCGTATTGTGGCTGGTTAATTATCGTTAGCCTATATTTCAACATGCATCCCCAGTAGATATTTGGTTGGTGGTTTGGAACATGAATTTTAGTTTCCATATATTGGGAAAAATAAACCCAACTGACTTTCATATTTTTCAGAGGGGTAGGCATACCACCAACCAGCCGAGGGTTTGTTTCGCCCTTTAACAACAGGTAAATGTTCACATGATGATAGATGGTATATCAAACCGGCCCAAACCAATTTTTACCAAAAGGACATTATTGAACCAAAGTGTGAACATCTCCGGTAGCACAATACACCAGGGAGGTGTAGTAACACTTGGTAACATATTGAACATAAGGTGAACATATTTTGAACATATTGAAACGGTGAACATACACCAGGGAATTCGAAATTCTCAAAACTTGTGGATATTGAAAATATAGTTACATGAAAATACGTTCCGCAAATGGTGAATGAGCAAAGGGTGAATTAAGACTGAATATTGGGATGCCAACAAATTTAGAGTTTCTGAGCAGATGCTTATTGTGTAGTGACTCATGTGGTGGGTCAGCAGCTCCACGGTGCGGTAACCCGATTTCGACCCCATAATGTTGATCCCGATAGGTTGAAGTGACAGAATGAAGACCAATCCAGTGTTCATGAACTTCCCATTTTTTTATACTGGTTGGGGGTTTCCAACATGTTTTATGTTCCATTTCATATATGGGATAGTTTTTCCATTCAAAAATTGCTAATGATTTGTGGCTTAGGGTTTAGGGTTTGGAGGGTTTGGAGGGTTTGGAGGGTTTAGGGTTGCCATTTGAAACGCTATTTTTAGATACTTTTTGCAAAATGATGATTTTTCATTTTCCAATTGGTTAGCTGCCATCAGCACTCTTGTCGCCTTATTGCTAATCCGCAGGATGGCATGCTATAGCTGCCAGAAATCCGGAAATACCCCGAATCCTTCCACCGACAGGACTTAGACGGTCTCACGCCATTGCATCATCACCTGCTGCCCTTTGCCAAAAATGGAGGATTTGCCCGGGTGTGTTTCTTTCACGGAACCAATCAATGCATATACATCCAATATACTTTAGGAGGTAGATCTATCACGTTTTTGACCCCTCTCTTTAGCGCCTTTATCCTGGGGATATGGGCTACCCTGAAGGATATCTAAAGGGTCCAAATTTGGCAGTATTTGGACATTATTTTTGGTAGATTTGGACATTAATTGTGCCAAATTTGGACGCTTTCAACTACAAATTTGGACATTAATTTTGGCCAAAATTTGGTTAAATTTGGACGTATTCAAGGGTAGATTTGGACATTCATTTTGGCCAAAATTGGGCTAAATTTGGACATTTTCAAGGGTAGATTTGGACATTCATTCTGGCCAAAATTTGGCGTTTTCAGTGGTAAATGTAGGCATTGTTGTGGAGGCATCTTAACCAACCCGCAGTGAAAATTGGATGATGTCAGGGATGATTTGGTGTTTGTTTGGATATCATTCAAACATTAGATCAAGTTAGATCCCACCATATTTGCTCGAATCAAACAAAAATAATAACACCATATGCGACAGAAGGAATCATATGTGCCATGGTCAAACAGCACAATCTAATTTGTGATGATATGGGGATGGTTACCGGACTTTGGTTGGAAGTTGTTTTTTCTTGAATGCTATTGGCAACAACTATGAGTATGAGAATTATAACTTATAACTTATAACTTATAACTATAACGGGTACAGCGTGATGATTTGGCCATCCACCAATCTGTATTATAATAGTTTATATCATATATCAAATGCAATTCAATAACAAGGGATGATTATTTATCCAACTTTTGACCATGGCACACATCAAGTGTTGGGGCAGCTTCCATTTTAGGTATGAATGCGGTGTTGCACCCGAGTGCACATGGTGATTATTTGTTCATAAGAATTCCAAGATTTGTGAGTGAACATTTAGCGCCACCATTTGTATCCAACAACTCAGGGGGGCAGGACGGCCCAATAAATCAACAGACTGTTCAATCACCTAAAGGTTTTTTAGCAAGACTTCCATGTTCCGTTTGCAAATTTGGCTTTGTTTTCCAGCACCATCATTGGTGAGTGAACACGGCCCGCTCCATGGATATCGATGAATGCGGCATGGATTTTGACTTGCTAGCTGTCCTGGAGGAGTCTACCAAACTGCACTGTGATGCCGGGGATCACGCATCAGTGGCAGTCCAATCTGAAGATGATCAATTCAATCAATTATTTGCATTTCAGCCAGAGCCAGTTCAGTTAGAATTTCAGCCGCAGCCTGCACAGAATGAAGTTGCGACAGTTCAGGCTAGATGCAAGCTGCCAAAAATGTCTGGAAAAGTTGGCAGTGGCAGGCATGGAGGCCAAGGAGAGAAGTCTCTTCTGGCTTTGCATATGAGGCACTGTAAGGCCTTGTTGAAACACGATGCTTTCAAACAAAATCTTGCAGACATGCTGGGAGATTCTACTATCAAAAAAAATGGGTGTCTTGTAGCCGTCACTGCGAAGGCGACATCATCAGGAATGGTGATCAAACTTTGTTCTCGTTCTGCCAAAGGCAACCGGTTCAAGCGAGCCATTCCATGGGTTGACTTTTTTCAAGCCGCTTACGGCAAGCTCAAGAGAACAACTCACATAGCTTTGTCCATGGAGGTATCCAAGTCAACAGTTTCCTTTATGAACGCTATGGTTGGAGCTGCGTATCAAGGTCAGCAGTTGACATTGTTGGCAAAACTGATTCTTCTTGCAAGACATGAGCCTCCACTAGCACTCATTCAGCAGATCAAGTGGGACGAAACATCACTTCTTTGCAGTGTGAACCCTGACAGAAGCAACGCCAGAGTTCGATCAACATGGGAGACTATGGTTGCGCGCCAACGAATCATACTGGTTTGGCCTAACGGGTCATGTTTGATTGTCAGAATTGTCTTGCCACCAGTTGTACTATTGGGAAGCGCAGCACAACACATTTTTTATGCGATGCAGTATCATCCGAGTTACCGAAGCATTACTGAATTGCTGGGGCATTTGGCAGCATCATGTTTTCACAGACTTCAAGTGTTTGAATCTGATGGAGCATATTCCAACGACAGGCTATATGCTCATCTTGTCCAACGAAACAAGTTGGCGCAATTCAGATACCACTTGACGCATGTGCGGTGCCAAAATCACCAAACACAGCTCTGCAACGTAGCTCTTTTTGCAGCGGTCGGACACAATATATTGAATCGCCTATACGGGATGACAGTGTTTCTCAGGAACTTGGGTCATTGGATCCGTATCAAACAAACTGTCTTTGCTTGGGTCGATGCCAACTTGGAGTTCAGACCTGAATTACTTGCTGACAATGCCACTGGGCAATCCAGAAGTCACGCAGCTCTTGTTGAGATGATTGAGTTTTTGAAGTGGAATCGAAAATGCGAATCTGATTTGGAAGGCCCTGATTCAGGCACATTTGAGAAGAAAGCTAAGGCTTTCCTTGAAATGTGGAATTCAGATCCAGCAAATCCCAAGCCGGGCCACATTTGTTCACATGAATCTCTACCTGCCTGTCAGCGGCACTGCGCAAACCGCAGTGAAGCTGTTAGAAAGTGTGTGGACACTCTGATGGATCTCTTTCTCAACACCATGCCCTCTGTGCCGGCGCCGAACAAGTGGGCTACCCACTATAGCCCACTCGACCCTTCCACGTAGAAGTGCGAGTATGTTTTCTTTGTTTTTGTTTGGCCCCCCAAAAATCCGGGATTCTACTTAATAATTACTCAATCTATGGGTGATTATTTGGGAATAGTTTGAAGGACTGACTACTAGACTATACACTATACATTGCCCATGCCTACATACATAGGTCAGAAGTCTGTAGGATGATGAATTTTCACTGACTCTGTTTCGGATACGTGCGAATAGCGGCCTACCTTTTCAGCCAGGTATGAATCAAAACTGTACTGCTAACTGTTGATTTGACATGTAGCGTAGTAATGAATAATGATGATACATAGGGGGTTCTGTCTACAGTAGCTGTGTCATTTTTGTTTTTTCGAGTTTCCATGTTGATCTTACGCGGCACTGTAATTGTGTGTAATTAGTCAGAACCTGTAGTTGTTTTTGTACATTTTTGTATGTATCTGTATCTGTATTTGTATCTGCTTTGTATGATCTCCAAAGTCATCATAGTCATGGGCAGAGTCATACCATACGAGTCATATTAAATCATATAATCATATCACATTAAAATTATGATTGATCAATTACTAATAAAATAAAATGGTATCGGTATCAGCGTATCAGAGTTATATGACAGTATATGATTCTATGACATGATATATAATAAAATAATAAACATATATTACTATATTACATAATTTAATATATATATAATATAATTATATGCTAATGTGATGATATGTGATATGTGTGTATGTGGGTTTGGGTGACTTTTGGGATAGGGTCAGGGGTGAGAACCATATCAGGACTTCTGTCTTGCGGGCTATATGGTGCACAAGTGGTTGTGTCAAGTGTTCAAAGGCGCATTTCAATACGTCAAATTTCAGGAATACAACCCTTTGGATGAGAATGCAGATCCGAAATTGATCGAGACACTTTGTTTTCACATGGTGAATGGGCGACGATTTCAATCTTCTGTGAGCTTCCTCGAAGATCCCGAAGATCAATGGGCCGTGGTACTTTTGTCTCTTTCTTTAGAACCCAACCGAATCTTGACATGGTATTGGTTGGCATGTCTCTCCAAGACCTTGAAATACAAGCAGCGGCCGCCATTGCATTTGCTGCTTGATCCTAGGACAAGCATCGTTTGCCAAGCCCTTCAATTTCTGAGCTCGCTGTTGTTGAGTAAGACAGGCGAGGGTCGCTTGATTCTTCTGTGGGGACATTTCGGGTTCGATTCGTACCAAGAGTTTTGCAGCCGTGAGATTGGAAAGTGCAGAAAGATCAGACGAATTTTGATGCTGGCTGCCGGTTGGATCTATCGCAGACACTATATGTATCTGAATGGGGATTCTTTTGCAATCACAATGTGCGGGGATGATGCTGCTCATCCGGAGACGTTGCAATCCTTCTGTGATTTTTGGGACTGCAAACATTCCTGTTGTGTTCCACCAGGTCTTTGTAGGGACTGGAAACAAATGGGGCTCACATCAGAAGAACTCTGCCACGGCAACGCGAGGAGTGTTCTCTACTGGCTAGCTGCTACAATTCAATGTTCAATTGCTGACATTGAATCTATGCACAGTCAGAACAGGTCATTGGGAGGGAATGCTTTTTCCAGCATAGCCGCTAAATTTATAAACTGTGAAGCAAAGAGGGTGGCAGAAGATGCAGTCAATCTTCAGAAATCTGGTGAAGACCAAGGGTGTTCTCAGAAACGGAGCAGTTCCTACGTCAAGCGTGGAGGCATTCTTGTGAAAGATACTGCGTCTGCGCCAGCAAAGGCAAAGGGTATGTCACCCTTGGAACTTTTCCGGAAACACATGATTGACACCAAGAAAGCAACTGGGGAAACTGTGAACCCTTGCAGCAAGACTTTCTGGGAAGAGGTTAAAACTGCGTATTCAAACTTGGCGCCAGAACAGCAGAGGTTGTTTCAGTCTTTGTCAGATGAATCAAAGTCCCAGGCAGCAAGTTCAAGGTGCAAAAGCAGAAAAACATGTGCATCCAACTCAGCACAAGAGTCTCGACCTGATGATCTGGGGGATGCTGAACCGGTTCCTTCTTCAGAGGTGGTTGCACACGAGGATTCTCGAATGCCTTTGCATGCACAGGTGCTTCCTTTGCATGAACTTGTTGACATCCTGCCAGCCAATGGCATCTCTGAATTGCAGCAGGCTGTGGACAAAGAACTTCGCGGAGACGATTCTGTTCTTGGGACATCAAAACACCCGCTTTCTGATTCAGTTTTGGAAAGGGTATGGAGAGCTCAATTGGAAAAGGGCATTACTGGAAAAGGTTTTTACAAGAGTTTTGTGGCTGATGCGGAGTGCATTGCACGCCCACCATCTGATGATGATGTTTTCCCAGAAAGGGTTGTGCATGAATCTTACTGCGGCGAACAATGCAGACACCACGATGATCGCACCCGAATTGATTTGCACTGCCACACACTGGAACTTTGTCGGGCTATTGTGGTGAAGAAACTTAGATATTGTTGAACAGCTCCTTTTGTATTTTTGGTTGTATGAGGAATTCCTTGAGAATGCAACGCGCTGTTGTTCAATCCAATTTCCTTCTCAGTCAATATAATTTATAATATATAATTATATATAGTCTAGTTGTCGTCATATTTGGGGCAAAGAGGGATCACGTGATGGGCTTTATTATATGCCGGTTATGCTAAGTTTATTTGAGTTATGTCCCGGTGGTCAAGTAATTGGTTTCAGTTTGTGATGTTATGTCAAGTTATGTCAAGTTATGTCTCAACCAGCCATTGAATCATTATCATTTTCCCGTTGGTTTGTCACCTCCTAAAAAAAACACATGTCTATCATCCCTAAGACGACTACTACTATTACTAACATCATTTTTCACAGGGTTTTGCCACATGTTTGGTGGGCTATTTTTTTTGGAAGCAAACCAACAGAATAAAATCTATGTGAAACTTTAGAGTTTTTGAGACCTCAAACATATCAAATCATCATATCATCGACTCATACCGTATTAAATTAACAATGATATGACAGTGATATGATATGATATGATTCTATGATATATATATATATATATTATATATATAATATAATATATATTGTAATTATATAATATATGATGATTGGCTGTGATTGATATGTATGGTATGACAATGATATGATTCGATTTGACTCATTTGACGCATTACTAAATTACTGTATTTGTTTACAACAAACAAATGAACATAACAATGTTTTTGTTTAAAACGCCACTTTTGGTCGGTATGAGTCGACTTCTGACATGACGGTTTAAAGTCTAAAGCAAGAAATATGAAATAAATAAGGGCAGTAGTAGCTGTTTGTTTCCCACATATCGGGCTACTAGGAGCGGCGGAGTTAAGCTGACGGTGGAAAACGACACCTTGTGCGTATTTGAGGTTACCGATTCTGGTGGTATCTCTTACAGGGAGTTCTGCTTTGTAACGGCTGTTTCTTCCCAATCTGGAACCCATAAGCCAGAGCAGGTCTTTGTCTGTTTGGACAAGCATGATGAAAGTAAAACTGACATCTCTGGGATTTGCGGTTTGATTCTGGTATTATCTACAAGGCCATATGTTCAACCAACAGAGAAGGAGTTTTTTCAAAGGCAACCTTTGGCTGTGGGACAGATGAGAATGTACACATCGGATTGTTTTGTCGCCCGTTTGCTGGATTTGCCTAAACTGTTTCATCCAGATTTGGTGGCTGTGAAAGTGGCAGTCTCCTTTCTCCAGTTCGAAGACATCCTGCCGGGAATGATACGGGTCATTGGTGTAGATGTGCAAAACCCTTGCTTATTTGCAACTGCTGATGAGGCTGTTGTGGACACTGATGGGCCTGAAGACCACAGTCCACAACATTCAGAACATGGTGTTTCTTCACACCTTCAGGATAGTTCAGGTGGAGTTGATTTTCTGGCTTTGTTGGAGGCTTCGGCGGAACCACGTCCACCGAAACAGAGAAAGACCACACGGTCCAAACTGAAAAAGAAAACCGAGGGCACAAATGAGCCTGACGTTAGCATTGAGGAAGCTCTTGGTGATTTTTTGCTGGATGACCTTTCTGTCACTACATTTTTGTCAAGGGAAGAGATTGAAGGGTTGAAACATGTGCAGGGCCTTTGTGCAACCGCTTCCACTGCAAATGATTTATCTGAATGGAGGCCCAATGCTGTACCCGAAGATGCAAGTAGTGAATCTGGTGATGAACAGGTAGAGGAAGCATCTTTGGACGGAGACAATTCTTTGAATACAGATGGCTCAGATGGCATTTCTTTCACACATGACAAGGCTGGTGATACTGTGATGACTGGCACACGTACAGGTGGAAGGAATGCAGTTTCCCAATCATCATCTTCTTCTGCTTCATCACGGGAGGTTCCCAACGTTGCTGCAGTCCCTTAGATGGTATCTTTCTTGGGCCCGTTGCTTTCCCACTGAACGATTTCTTTTGGTTATGATTCATTATGATTTGAAATCATGTGATATGAGTTCGATTATTAACCATGAGGACCATGATGATTCTAGTTGATGGTTTGATTACTTATTCAATTGAACATACAGTACATACATACAAACTTACATGCATTACACACATTCATACATACATACATACATACGTACATACATACATACATACATCCATCACATACATACATACATACATACATACATACAGTTACATACATACATACATACATATAAATACATACATACATACATACAGACAGACAGACAGACAGACAGACAGACAGACATTGACATACATACACACATACATAGATTACATGCATACATACTTACATACATATTATTTATTTACATAATATCATATATATAAATAATATATTATATTATATTATATTTATTTTATATTTTCATATACAGATTTATATATTATAAAATAATATAATATAATTATATAATATATTATAAAATATATTCTTTGCATATAAACAGATATACAGTACATATCATATATCATATACACATATACGTATCAGATACACATATACATATCATATACACATATTGCATATACATCATATACATATGCATACACATAGTCATACATAACATATACATACATTTACATATACATACATTTACATATACATACATACATGCATGCATACATACCTGCATGCATACATACATACATGCATACAACATACATATAAATATATATACATACATACATACAGACATATACATACTGTGCATAGTTGCATACATACATACTTACAAACATAAGTTACATACATACACACAGACATAGATACTTACATACATACATCACATACATACATACATACATACAGTTACATACATACATACATACATACATACAACAATTTCATACATACATAGTTACGTACATACATACAGTTACATACACATACACATACAGTCACATACACATACAGACATACATACATACAAACATGACATACACACATACACACATAGTAAATAAAGTAAAAACAGTAAATACAGTACATACAGCCCATACATACAGCACACACATACATACATGCATATATACGTACGTATAACTTATACAGTTATACAGATACATACATACATCTTATATACCTACCTACCTACCTACCTACCTACCTACCTACCTACCTACCTACCTACGTACATTAGTTACATACATAGTTACACTCATGCATGCATACAGACATTTGTACATTCATTGCATACCTGTCTACCTTCAAATGTTGGTGTCACCATGTGTCACCAACAGAAAAGAATATGATTCATAGTATGAATTATTCAATGTTTAAAATCACATCAAATTAATTATATAATCATCATATCTCAAACACAAGCCACATATCAATTATCATATCATATATTATAAATTATATTAATATGATTAATATGTAACATGTATTGTTTTGTATAATTCTATATCAGATCAAATCAAATATCACAAATCGAATCATATCATATCATCATACATAGCATATTATTATCATATAACTTCAAAAATAAATCATAGTTCATACACCAGATTTCATTGATATTGATCTCATTGATTATTTGCCATATCTTAAAAACATGTTTATAACATATTCATATACCGTATTACCTAAACTATGACTATAACATATAATTCATATAATATCAAAAATTGTGTGTATCATATTAGTTTGAATTATTTCATATCTTACCATATCAAATCATATCTAATCATATCATGATCATAACAAATCATACCACCCGATGGTATCATACCACACACATATTTCATATATTATATATATTCTATATTGTATAATATAAGCAAAATATACGATATGACTCTACAATATAATAATCTATATATAATATAATATAATATAATAATATAATATAATACAATAAAATATAATATAATATAATTTAATTTAATATATTATATTATTCATACATGATTGTATTTATATAGTCATACATATATCATATATATATATATATATTGTATTATTTAAATATAATTTCACTTTATCGGTTTACACACCTTACAATTAATGTGTTGTTTAGTCCCATCAGTGGCACTCAGGTTGCTCCAGTTGGTCCACCTGCTGGGAAGGACACACCTTCCAAGTCTGCAGAGAGAGGTTGCAATGTACAGGTTCTTGCTCAGGGAGCAGACGGCTCCAGGGTTGAAGCGAAGATTTTTAGTGGTGGTTCAATTGTTGCAGAGGTAGTCTCCAAATCATGTTCTGGCTCATGCAGACCGTTGGGTCAGTTAAAGGCCATGGTCGATGGCAATGGTTTTGAAACTTTGCAAGCCCGTTGCAGGGTTCATTCGAAATGTATTTGCTGGGTGTCCAATTCCAAACACTCAGATTTGATGTTGCAATGGCTTTCTCGGGGAGAGCAGGAGACGGTAGAACAGCACCAGTCTTCTGCAAAAGAATTAAAAAAATCAGTAGGCATGAAGGTTAGGGGATGACGTGATGTCTTACAACGTTGTCATCATGACGACAATGGTGACATCTGGACAACTTGATCGATGCAGGGACAACAAGTGGAAAGCAGTCCGTTTGCGTTCTAGGTTTCCCTTACCTCAGTTTGGTTGGGGGTACATTCTACATTCAACGCGGTTCCAAGAAAGCCAACTTTGTCAAAGAACAAGAGAGTTTACAACATTTTACAACTCATGTTAGCCTATGTTTGTTTCGTGAAAGGTTTTGATTGGTTCCAAAGATTCCAAGTCACAGTTTCAAACACCCAACATTTGGTCAAAATTTGGACATTAGTTAATGTCCAAATTTGGCACTTTGGGGTCCAAATTTAGACATTAGTTAATGTCCAAATGTCTAATTTTTGGTCCAAATTTGAACATTAGTTAATGTTCAAATTTGGCAATTTGGGGTCCAAACTTGGACATTAGTTAATGTCCAAATTTGGACATTAGGCACCAAACTTGGACATTAGCTAATGTCCAAATTCCAAATGCAAATTAACGTCGAAATCACCTATTTTGTTGCAAAAAAACCCAAATTTGGACATTAACTCAAACCCCAAATTTGGACATTAGCTAATGTCCAAATTTGGCCTCTAATGTCCAAATTTGGACATTGGCTAATGTACAAATTTGGACACCACATTGCCAAATTTGGACATTAACTAATATCCAAATTTGGACCAAACATTTGACATTTGGCCATTAACGAATGTCCAAATTTTGACCAAACATTGACACATTTGGACATTAGCCAATGTCCAATTTTTTGCGCTTTGGGGGGTTCCAGGTGAACGCATTTGGACTTCGAACTTTGCAAAGGGTTTGGTTTGCAAGTGTTCTTGATTTGATCTATGAATGTTTGGGTTCATTCATTTCCCAAGAACAGCAAATACACATGTTTATTTTACTTGTAGCGATTTTTTGCTCAGGCCCCCCGGTATAACATTCAGGCTTGTTTGAGAAGCATCATTGAGCATTTCAGTGATGCCAGCCCGTGCGTCAATGTCAATGTCGCCAGCGTCTAGTGAAGCCACCTTGGCTTTTTCACCGACACGCCGTAAGGCACGTGGCCAGGCTGCTTCTCCTACACCCAGGACACCGCAGCGCTTGCGCAGGGCCAATGCTCAGTTCTTTTCCCCAGAGAAGACACCCATGAAGTCAGCTTCGAGGGTTGGATCACCAACGGCATCGAAGTCATCAAAGGCATCTAGCCCCAAGAGCCAGGGATCATCGCCGTCACCGACAGTCATGAAAGTTATGAAAGCCATGAAGGTCTTGAATTTGTTTGGGAAGTTGAAGAAGAAGCAGAAGAAGGGATCTAGCAAGTCTTCTACCTCATCTACCCCCATGAAAGCGTTCAAGAAGCCGGCATGCAAGGTGGTGATGCGCAAGAGCAAGAGGGATCTTTGGTGGCGCGTGCGGGCCAAGATTGACCATGACTGGATGGATTTTTGCGGGTACAACAAGAGTTTCAATACTGGGCCGCCGTGCAGCTACCGGACGTCCCCTAGCTGCAGCCATGTCATGTCCCTGTTCCCTTCTAGCATACTGCAAACTTCAAACTTCGATCGATGTAATTAGATTATATTATATAAATATTTATATTTTATATCATTATTAGATTGCAAACAAGTTTGAACTGTTTGATTTGGTTTGGAGACATCGAAGATATCTGAGATATTAGTTGGTTCAAATAATGTTTTATGATGCTTTAACGACCATTGCCATTCTCCTGAGGTTTGTGATTGACAGCCTCATGCAGCAAGGATGGGAGATCAAGACCGGCATCACCAGGAGCCAGGTGAAGCTTTCCATTGGCGATTGGGAGAAGGTGGGTCACGGTTCTTCTTCTGAGAGCGAGGGAAATGAGTGAGCCTGAGATCGAATGTCAAGACAAAACTTGACACCGTTGCCGATTGCCGAGGGCCGCAGGGGTGGCAGGATAATCTTGCTACCGTTTTGCCCACAATGCCTGCTCATGTAAGTGGTCTTGTTTCTCTGAGCTTTTTCCAGTTTGGCCGTGGCTTGTTGCTGAGACATAATTAATCGGCAGGCATTCAGCTTTTTGCAATCCGAATGGCCCAGAATGGTTGCAAGTTGCAATTTATGATTCTTAATCAAATGATGAAGTGACTACTTGTACTTGTAGTTGAGCACAGTTGAGCTCCATTGGATTCTACTTTGCTGTAACTGTAACTTGTATTCAGAGAATTGAACCATGCAAAACATATTCCAGTTGTTTCACAGTTTCATTTGTGTTTCCCATGTGTTTGCTTCCATCAGGGCCCTAATCGCAACGTGCGTCGATACTGATAAGAGATATGAGATATGGTCTTGTTATGATATGATTCGATGTCGTATCATGTGCACCTTCGACCACAGATTTGAATCGGTCGATGTGCAGAGACAGAAAGTCAGAGACAAGAGCTTGAAAACATTTTCTTATGCCTCAAGTGCACCAGTTAGTCACTCGATTTCCAGACTTCAAACTCTAATTGAATTGTATTGACTGAGCAACCTCTAGTAACCATAGCTGAGAACCATTCCAAACTGGGATTCGCATTCCAGGAGTCAGCGTTGATCAAGAGCTTTCCGTTTGGTCTTTGTTCAACTAGGATATTTGCCGCATTCAAGCAATGGAGAGATGTGGTCTCATTTGAGTTGAATCTGGTTTCAATTTGAAATGGCAATGTGCTTGCCATTGCCCAGCTTTTTTCTGTTTCAGCGAGTTTTCGCAGTATCAATCCCGTTTCCTGGCGTCCCTTGCAGTGGTTTCTCTAGTTGCACGTTGCCTGTCATGCCGGCAGCGATGTCGAAGCCAGCAGAGAGTTGCAAGTTTTGCCACAAGCAATTCGGAGTTGATCGAAACCCTACGATCAAGAATCCTGGTGCTAGTGACCTTTTGGCACGCAGAGCCCCAGGGTCAAAGGAATGCAAAGTTTGTTTTGGATTCCTGAGAAGTGGCGATTCCAGGTTCAGTCAATTGACGCGGACCGCTTTGGCAGATGCTTTGAAAGATCCTGCTGAACAGAGCAGCTTTGACTCCGAGTTGAATCGCTGGTGTGAAGCACGCCGGGATGGCAAACGACGCCGAGGTGGGTTGTGGTTGGGGCCCAAACAGGGAACCCCTAATACATATTACAGTATAGACGAGTATACAGATACATAAATATAAATATATAATATAATATATAATATTAATATAATTTCCAAATTTCATAGTTACATACAGATTTTTCATATCATTTGTTTCATATCATCGAATCACATCATTCCCAACATTATCCGACTATATCAAGAACAAACAACCCTTGTTGTTTTCCCCGAGCTGCCTGACAGGCGATGAGACAGAGACGGCCGTGGTGGAAGATTCCACCTCTTTCTTTACCAAAGAGGTTCTTGGGTACATGTGGCCTGTTAGCCTTCTCAGAAAACATGATCGAGCAGTGCCCAAAAAACTACAGAGCATCGTTCACCAGGGAAAGACTGTGAAGGGTGCTATTTGTGAAGATTGGGTTCTGGGTGCTTTGGTTTTGCCAAGTTCTTTTCGAATTTCCCCACTGTTTGGCACGATACCTTGTTGTCCTATGCTAAGCTGCCTTTCAAGAAGTTTGGTTTTTATTTGACATGATGCTTTCTCGGTGTCAAACTCAAAAGTGAACCAGTTAGGATAGGATTTGAATCCTTGGATTTCGTTTTGTTTGGGTTGTGAAACATCATAATTTTGATTTATCATAATGAATCATATGGGTTTGTGACCGTTGTGCAAGTAGTGCCTCACCATCTAATTCTAATGGAGACCATGCTGAGGAGCAATTGAAGTTTCTTCTACGTCAGCGAAGAATGCGAAGCACATCACGCAGTGCGGGATTGGGGGAGAAGATGATGACAACGATGCTCGCAAGGCCTATGACCTTGCCCAGAAGAAGGTTCGTGTCAGCACTGCGCAGAGTGCTGATGGAGAGATTTCACTGAATCCCGACAGCCTTATCCTGAAAATCATTTTCTATGTTGTTTCCTCCGCTCCAGCAGTGCACACATCATTGCACACAGTTTCAAAGCCTTCAAAATAGCATGTCTAGAAAACATTTCCTCCAATATTACTATATATTATATATATATATATTATATTACTATATTATATATTATATAATATAAATA